AGTTATGGCCATTCTAACGTTTTTATTATTTCGAGCTTAAAATAGTGATCAAAAATAATAGCTAGAAACGCTGAAAACTCAATATTTAAGGAGTTATGGCCATTTTATAGTTTTTATTAATTCGTGCTTAAAATAGTGATCGAAAATAATAGCTAGAAATGCCGAAAACTCAATATTTAAGGAGTTATGGCCATTTTACAGTTTTTATTACTTCGTGCTTAAAAAGTGATCACAAATAATTGCTAAAAACTCTGAAAACTCAATATTTAAGGAGTTATGGCCATTTTAAAGTTTTTATTAATTCTTGCTTAAAATAGTGGTCACAAATAATAGCTAAAAACGCCGAAAGCTAAAAATTTAAGGAGTTATGGCCAGTTTAAAGTTTTTATTAATTCGTGCTTAAAAAGTGATCGCAAATAATAGCTAAAAACGCCGAAAACTCAATATTTAAGGAGTTATGGCCAGTTTAAAGTTTTTATTAATTCGTGCTTACAAAAGTGATCACAAATAATAGCTTAAATATGGCCATTTATGGTCATTATAAAGTTTTTATTAATTCGTGCTTAAAAAAGTGATCACAAATAATAGCTAAACACGCCAAAAACTCAATATTTAAGCGGTTATGGCCATTTTAAAGTTTTTATTAATTAACTCTTAAAAACGTGATCACAAATAATAGCTAAAAGCGCCAAAAACTCAATATTTAAGGAGTTATGGCCATTTTAAAGTTTTTATTAATTAACTCTTAAAAACGTGATCACAAATAATAGCTAGAAACGCCGAAAACTCAGAAAAAAAATATTTTTTAGATATGTATTGGTATGGATCGGTTGCCCTTTGCCCTATATTTAACTCATAAAATTTTCAAAATTGTACATATAAACGTTTTTCGCTTAAAAAATATCTAAAGAGTCTATATATATATATATATATATATATATATATATATATATATATATATATATATATATATATATATATATATATATATATATATATATATATATATATATATATATATATATATATATATATATATATATATATATATATATATATATATAGCTGGCCCGGTCCGCGTTGCCGGCCCGTAGTTTTAGTCTTTAATGCAAATTTTGCATAGCATAATATTTCACAAATCTAGCTCATAAAGGTGAACAAATTCTAATATAAATATTGATTCGACTAAATAGAAATAAATAACTATGGAAAGAGAGCAAAATAATTTCTGAATAGTTATAAGTTAATTACGCTTTTACACCCATTACCATAGCAACTCAATTTGCGCATTAGAGTTTCCAAAAAGTCTATGTTCTTGTTCATAGTAAGACCAAAATATTTACGTATGTTGACATTTTTCTCTAAGATGGTTCTCTACTCACAAAGAAGCCTAAATACAGCAAATAATGGCCAAATCAGTTGAAAAACGTGGCCAAGACCACGGTCACAGCTGAAATCAGGGATACATTTATATAAGGGTTATACCAAAAAGGGTTATACAAAAACCAATATTCTCTTGGGGGTTCCAAATTCAATAGAAAACAAAATTTTCTTTTCTGACCACCAATTAGATGTGAAAGTGGACTTGGGGATACTCCAATGTGGGGACTTAAATAAATTCCTATGTGGCAATTATCTGTATGATGGTTCCCTACCCCAGGGTAGCCAAATCAATTAATGAATGAGGTCAAGACCAAAATGGGCCCTTCTCTGAAAATTTCAAACTTTATGTGAAGAGGTTCTCTACCTCCTTAGAAACAAAGATGCCAAATAATGGCCAAAATATTAAAAAAAGTGACCAAGACACCAAAAATAGCTTAAATCATACAATGGATATATAAATATGAAATCGTGTTGTACCCTTATCCGTGAGTTATGATCGATATCATGACCTGAAAAAGCGATTTAAGGTATCTTGAATGTTTGGGAAAAATTTCTGGAAGGAAAGAAATCCTTTTCTTACTAAGAGTCCCATTCGCTGTACTATTTTCCACCCTTAATATTTGGTATTTTTCTGAATGTACATTGGACGGATTATTGTGACAGGAAAGAAGTAGTTCCACGCTTTGAAATGAGCCCCATTAGGCTTTTTCCGTAATTTTTGTTTGTTCAAATGCGTTCGCATCTTCCAGCTGAACCACGATGTCGGCCCTGGAGTTGAAAGGTAGATGTCAGTTAACATCGTATTTCCCACTAATTTCATTTTTTGGTGAAAATTTGTATATAGTGAAAAATTATTCTTTACTTTGTTCACAAAAAAATTTACTGAATTCAAGGTTACTTCTGACCTTTACATTGATGTTATTATCCAACAAATCGGATATATAGCAAAATATGTGCGATATATATGTCTATCAAGGAAGATATGCTTGAAAGATCTATTTTATGTCGAGAACGGCTGAACTGATTTCGACAGTTCTCATTAATTCAGAATGGCCTCTTTGCAGAAAAGAAAAAAACGCCTAAAAAATCGCATAAAAATATCTCTCTAAAGATGAAAATATTGATTTTGTAAAGTTTTCTCATATTTTTTCAATTTTGTCATATTTTTGGCATATTTTCATTTTGAATTAAACATTTGGTAATATTTCTACAGCTAACAAAACTAAGTAGTTAGGATATCAGGATATCATATACAGATCGCATTTATGGCCCGATCCTTACGAAATTTTGCATGGGGATAAGATGAGGGTCAGAATAGAAGCCTACTCTTTTTGGAGAGTAGGATATCATATACAGATCGCATTTATGGCCCGATCCTTACGAAATTTTGCATGGGGATAAGATGAGGGTCAGAATAGAAGCCTACTCTTTTTGGCTATTAAAAAGTATATATCAGTCTTATCCCATCTTAGTCTTTAATGCTATTATATCATCCATCTTGGAAAGGAGGGTATATTAATTTTTCATTCCATTTGTAACATCACTAAATGTTCGTCATAATTGATATCAATTTTCGCGTATTGGTCGATTAAAAGTGTTTTAAAATACCTGTACCCATATTTAAGCCGTGGGCTTCAATATTTAAACCGTGGGCTTCAAAGGTGTGGATGTGCTATACAAATCTATTAAAAAGTATATATCAGTCTTATCCCATCTTATCAAATCAATTTTTAGTATGCAAATTTTTCCAGTCAAATAAGCAGTAATTTGGAATTTGTTGTATTTTGTACACCTCATAATTGAGGGCTGAAAGAATTAAGAATAGCCAAAGTCAATTACATTTTTAAAACCATTAGCACCGCAGATTATCCATTAGAGTTCTTATAAGTCCCCCTAATCATGTCGGTCTGTTTGTCCGCCAAAGGGTGGACTTGCGGGGGTACTATTATATGGAAAAAATTCTAAAATTTGTACATATGTTAAAATTTTTGTGTAAGATTTTCACCCCCAAATACACATTTTTAGCCAAATCCTTTGAAATATGGTAAAATCAGGAGGTACCTTTATATGGGCACTACTCCGAGACATCGACCTACATTGAAAACATTCTTCTACCCCTTATAATCCAATATGACAAATAGAGCCCAAATCAAAAATATAGCAGAACAACATAGCATGTCAAACCGAAAAAAATTTCGGGCGATTTAAATGAGTAAAAATAGTTTTGTCCACCATATTTTTCATCATAGTATAATTCAATGACGATTCAACAAATATTCGGTCCTGTGCTATTTTCATATATTTGTAGTTTGTTCATGTTTCCACAATTTATTTCATATTGTATATGTATATCCCAAATCTACGTTTCCAACCGATATTCTCTTGGGAGTTACAAATTCAATAGAATACAAAATTTTCTTTTCTGACCACACATTATATGTGAAAGTGGACTTGGACTTTACTTAAATAAATTTCTATGTGGCCATTATCTGTATGATGGTTCCCTAACAGCTTAGAGAAAAAGATGCCAAATAAGGGCCAAACAATGAAAAAAGTGGCCAAGACCCCAAAAATAGCTTAAATCATATGATGGTTATATAAATATGAAATCGGGATGTAGCCTTATCGTGAGTTATGTTCAATATCATGACCTGCAAAAGTGATTTAAGGTATCTTGAATGTTTGTGAAGAATTTCTGGAAGGATAGAATTCCTTTTCTTACTAAGAGTCTCATTCGCTCTACTATTTCCCACCCTTTATATTTGGTATTTTACTGATTGTATTCCCAAAGAATTTTGCATTTGAGCTCTCATTGGACGGATTATTGTCACATGAAAGAAGTAGGTCCACGCTTTGAAATGAGCTCCATTAGGCTTTTTCTGTCATTTTTGGTTGTTTAAATGTGTTCGCATCTTCCATCTGAACCACGATGTCGGCTCTGTAGTTGAAAGGTAGATGTCAGTTAACATCGTATTTCACACTTATTTCTTTTTTTTTTTTTTTTTTGGTGAAAAATTGTATATAGTGAAAAATTATTTTTTATTTTGTTCACAAAAAATCCACTGAATTCAATATGGTAATACAAATTGATTTTTTAGTGATTTCGAAAAAGTAATTATCTTTTAATCAATATTTATATTTCTTTTGGTGTGACCGCGTTAAATTATTTCGATATCATATATTCCGATTCCCCACCACAAAATTCGGTACTACACTTCCATGTAACCCGCCATCAATTTCAGTTCTCAAGAAATCAAGTAAATTAAATAAATTTGTATTTATATTCGAATTTGTACATTTGAAAAGTCAAAATGAAAATGTTAATATATCACATTTTTACGCGATTTTTTTGGATATTATCCTTTTCGGAGAGGAGACAACTCCGAATTTGTGTGAATCGTTAAAATCAGTCCAGCGGTTCGTAAGTTATAAGCGTAGTAACTAACACAACTTACATTTATATATATATATATATATATATATATATATATATATATATATATATATATATATATATATATATATATATATATATATATATATATATATATATATATATATATATATATATATATATGAAACTTTGAATTGGCTTTTTTCATAAATTGCAGGAGGGCATTGAAAACTTTATTACATGTGTTGACACATTTTCTTAAAAATTTATTTAATTTTGAATTTTGAAATATCGAAAAAAAAGAAACGAAGCATTGAAAGAAAAAAAAGAAACGAAGCATTGTACCTTACAAAAATATCAATAACCAGAAAATCCGTGAAAGACAAGAAAAGTGGAAGAACAAAGTTCTGATCTAGGTAAGTATCTAAATTTAATTCTTTCCTTATGAAGTAATTTGACGGATTATTTTGCTTTTCCAAACAGTATTAACTTCCCCACAATGACGAAAGAATGAGGATACAACATTTGAGTCTTCAGACCTAAGGTTACCGCAATTCGCCACATTCCTTCCTTTTTATACCCTACACCACATAATGGTAAGTGTATTATGTCTTTGTGCATTCGTTTGTAACATGGAAAAGGAAGCGAGATAGACCCACAGTTACTTTTGAGGATCAAAGGCCTGAATTTCGGCATATCCGACCGAATTCAGACTAGGTGGTATTTTGTTACGGGAGCTCTACTAATTATGCATAATGGGGTAGGGTATCATATAGTCATCCCCGCCTAACTTTTGACTTTTCATTACTGGTTTATTATAACCAAAACTGATATATAGAGAGGATATCACATGTTGGATTGGCATACAGTTTCTACCAACACAATTTCCACCACAACTTTTTTGCATGCCAACACCATTCCTATAAGACAGCAATTACTAATTGATATCCCCCCGTCCGGAATCCTATCAGCATAATATAGGGAATGAAATGCACCAAAAGCACATTTTCCAGATTTTGATGTCGAACTATAATTTGTGTGTAAAATATATATATATATACAATGCACATGAAATAAAAGCAGGAAATAGATTTGATGAAGGCAGTTGTTGGCCGGCCTCTGACCACCGGCACCACCAATTTTCAACTGAAGTATGTTTAACTGCCAACTGCAGAAAATGTAGTCTAAATGTGTTGCCCAAAGCGAGGTGGGTTGCAAAATTCAATGTTACTTCCGAACACTTTAAGCTTGAAGCTTTGGGCTATCATGTATAGAACCTTTTTAAGAAATTTCTAAAAATACGTCCTTAACCTACAATCGAGTCATAAATTTCGACTATACAGGTCGATTTCGTATAGCTCCCATATAACGGTACCTCCATATATTCGGATTTTTATGATTTTTTCTATATTGTTCACCGGATGATTTTTTCAAGTTTCGTATTTGAATATTGTGATGGCTCATGACAAACATTGCCTGTGCAGGTCCACGTCTTCGTATAGACTCCAGTATAACGGCTATATTAGGTATTTTTAAGATTTTAACGGATTTCCAAATTAGTTCGGCCCTTCCGAACTTACTGTTTTTTGCTACTTTAATATTAACAGTAGGGCGTTTCTTCTGCCGTTTTCGACTTTGAGCTTAACAGAAATGTTAAAATAGAAAATATTACATGAAACTTCGTTATAAGTTTTAGTTTCTCAATTGGATGTTTATGCTTATCAAGAATATATAGACATTGTAGGGTCTCCGGCGACTTTTTCAAACTAAAAAACAAACATAATAAATCCAAAATTTTTTCGTAAATTTATGTATATCGTGGCATATTTTTGAGTCGAAATAAAAATTTATGATCGGAAAGTCAATTACTAGAAGACGATCTAACTATTTCCCCCCAAGTAAAGTCCGTGATACGTGTTCTCTATTCCTCTACGCACATGTCATCGTTTATGTATCTTTCAGCATAACAACAAATTTGATCTGTTTCACCTCGTGGTCTCGTATGGTCTAAAGCATCCCTAGAGTTCTTCAAACCAAAAAATTATTAGACAACTTTGCAATATATAAATATGACCAGAATTTTTAATCCCCACACACGCAAACCCACCATCGAGGATCACTTTACGGCCAGAGAATTTGTTTTCTTGCCGAGTATGAGAACTAACTAACAAAACTTTATGAAAAGTGAATAAACACTTTTGGTGTTTGCGTTTGGGTGTGTGTGTGTGTGTTCAGTGACCGACTGTTGGCCAAGCCTGGCTATGCGTGTGTGTGTGTGTGAGCGCGTCTCAAAATCAAGTGCTTGAGAACAAATCTGATTGTAGAGGCTGCTACTGCTGCTGCTAGCATTTTTGGGCGATATGTTTGTGATATGGCTTTGTTCTTAATTGTGTCCATAATGTACGATTGTAGGTTTCTATTATACACACACATATACATTTATTTAAGGAATGTTCATTTCCATGCCCGATTCAGTTCTTTGTTGATTTTCTAGAAAAAAAATAAGCTAAATATACACAGACACACGCTCACTTAAAATTATACAACAAAACGGAATAGTTGCAATGGTTGATGGTGCCAAAGCAACAGTCGGATATGAGTTATTTCATAAATGTTGTTAAAAGATTAAATTATGTTTGGTTTCGATTTATAAAACCAGTAAGGAAGGGTCAAAGTCGGGGGGTTGGTCCGACTATATGATACCCTGCACCACTATGCGTATTTAGTAGAGCTCCCGTAACAAAAAAGTGTATATTGGAAATTTATGTGAGGTAGATCATACCAACTATAAACCTTATTGGAATCCGCATCATGGTTTTAGAGTAGTCACAATTTGGGAACTATATCCAACTCTGAATCGATTTTCAGATTCAGAGTTGGATATGGGTTTTGTACCTCTAGTACCAAGTAACATGACTTCTATAAGAATTATATTAAAAAATATTTATTGAAGTAGTAGATAGATGCCGGACTGAGTTTCACTGAATGGAAAAATTCGGATGAATATGAAAAAATCGATTGAATTTGGGCTGATATTACATATACGGTTGAGATAATAAACTGCAACAAGAGCCATAATTTTTATATATATATATTTTTTTTAAATTTTATTGAATGAAAGCAAAAATGTCGGAAATAGCTTCAAATTTTAGAATAAGTTTAGATTTATTCGAATTGGTTACCTTTGGCACGAATTATGGCCTTCAAACGGCCAATGAAACTGTCACACGCTGCCCGAATGTTGCTCTGCGGTCCGTTCTCGGCAAAGCGCTTAATTGAGGTGATCGACACATTGGCATTTTTTAGTGCCAATCTTGCTTTTCAAAATACTCCAGAAACGATAGTCCAACGGATTGGCATACGGAGATTTTGGTGGCCATTGTGCGCTGGAAATGAAGCGAAGAACCTCATTTTGTAACCATTCTTGGGTGGCGCGTGCTTAGTGCGAATAAATAAAGGTTTTAGACCCTAGATCTCTTTGGACCATATCCGTTTCAGAACATTTGGAGTCGATCTAGCGATGTCGGTCCGTCTGTCTGTCTCTCTGGCTGGTGCGCACGATAACTCTCGAAGAGTATCCGATTTGGTACAAACTTGGTACATCGAAATATTTTTGTCAAACTTAGATCGTGTTCGCAGATGGGCAATGTCGGTCCTCTCCTTCTGGTACCTCCCCCACAAAAAGTCGAAATTTTCAAAATGCATATTTTTTGCACAGAAAGAGAAAAGATAATCAAATTTTGCTTCAACTTTGCAAATATTATTATTTGCATCAGTGCTGGGTCATGTGTGATCCATTCCAAAAAGTACCTCCCCCACAAAGGGTCACAATTTTGGATGATTCTCACCAAAATGCTTTTGAACGCTTGTAAACAATATAATGAGCTGTCACTGGAATATTTTTAACAGCTGTCGGACGAGTGGCTTAGAAATGACAGCAGTCTGAATTTGGTTGCAGTTTTTTCTTTCACCCTGGGGAACTACCGGAGTGAGTGGGCTGATATATTCCATTTTCACACCCGATCTTGTATTGATAGAAATATTTGGATTTTACAAATAATCAAATGTCCATTCCGCATTTTATTCATGGTTACTAAAATGTTGACGCCCTTGTTGGAGAGGTACCAGATGGAGTAAATCGATATGTACCATCTTCACACTAGGTCTTAGCTAGCCAAAGTATAGGGATCTGTAAAATTTACAGAGAATTGGATGCTTGCTTCGCATTTTATAAGAGTTACGATTATTCAAAATTTTGACCCTTTGTGCGGGAGGTATATAATGAAAAAAATATTAAGAGTTTGGCAAATTGTCAAAAAAATTAATGATAATTTATTCTTGTATCCGGTAAATTATTTCCTGTGACATTTTTGATCTTTTGTGGGGGAGGAACAGAAGGATTGAACCGATATTGTCCATCTTCGAACTCTATCTAAGTTTGTCAAAAATATTGCGATGTACCAAGTTTGGATTAATTCAGATATTTCCTATAATTCTCGCAAATTATGTGTTATTTGTAGGTCTTCTAAATATGCCAAGGGGTGCAGGGCATCATAAAGTGGCCCGCCCGACTTTTGGCCTTTCTTTACTGGTTTATTATACCCTCAGCCATATGGCTACAGAGGGTATATATCATTTGATACGGGTATATATCAAAACGTGCCTAGTCGAAATAAGGGTTTTAGACCCTAGGTCTCTTTGGACCAAATCCGTTTCAGAACATTTGGAGTCGATCTAGCGATGTCCGTCCGTCCGTCCGTCCGTCTGTCTGTCTGGCTGGCTGGTGCGCACGATAACTCTCGAAGGGAGTATCCGATTTGGTCCAAACTTGGTACATCGTAATATTTTTGTCAAACTTAGATCGAGTTCGGAGATGGGCAATATCGGTCCACTCCTTCTGGTACCTCCCCCACAAAAGTTCGAAATTTTCGAAAAATTTAGTTTTTGCACAGAAAGAGAAACGGTAATCCGATTTTGCTCCAACTTTGCAAATCTTAATATTTGCGTCAGTGCTAGGTCAAGTGTGAAAATGGACAATATCGGTCCACTCCATCAAGTACCTCCCCCACAAATGGTCAAAATTTTGAATAATTACATCTCTTATAAAATGTGATATAAGAGTCCGATTGTCTTCAAATTTCACACATGCCAATATTTATGTTAACCCAAGGTCTGATGTTAAGATGGAATATATCGGTCCATTCCTTCTGGTACCTCCCCCACAAATGGTCGAAATTTGAAAAAAAAAAATATTTTTTGCACAGAAAGAGAAACGATAATCCGATTTTGCTCAAACTTTGCAAATCTTAATATTTGCGTCAGTACTAGGTTAAGTGTGAAAATGGACAAGATCGGTACCTTCTGGTACCTCCCCCACAAAGGATCAATATTTTCAATAATTTAAATTCTCATAAAATGTGATATAAGAGTCCGATTGTCTTAAAATTTCACACATGCCAATATTAAATGTAACCCAAGGTCTGGTGTTAAGATGGAATATATCGGTCCACTCCTTCTGGTACCTCCCACACAAATGATCGAGATTTTCAAAAAAAAATATATATTTTCTGCACAGAGAGAGAATCGATAATCCGATTATGTTCCAACTTTGCAAATCCTGATATTTACGTCAGTTCTAGATCAGGTGCAAAAATGGATAATATCGGTCCACTCCATCAAGTACCACCTCCACAAAAGGTCGAAATTTTGAATATCCATCAAGCTCTTAAAACACTAAATTAACATTTAAGAATTAGCACGTCTCAATGTTTTTATAAACGCAAGATCTTTTATAAAGATGGTAGAAATCGGACCATTCGTTCTGGTACCTCCCACACAAAGGATGACAGTTTTGAATAATCAAAACGAGGAAAGAATCCGAAATAAACATCCGGTTCTCTTTATATTACACACGTCCCATTATTTCTACTAACTCAAGATCTGGTGTGAAGATGGGATATATCGGTCCACTCCTTCTGGTACCTGCCCAAAAAGGATCAAAATGTTGAGTATCCACGAGCTCATAAAACGCAAAATTAACATCCGATTCTATCCAGACTTGGAGCTTCTCAATATTTTCATTAACACAAGACCTGCCAACTTATTATTGTCATAACTTGCGAAACAAGTCGGTGATTCTTAACAACTTGCTATATCTAAATATTTCTCTTAACCAGTATTCTGATATGAATATGTAATTTGTCGGAATTTATGATTTCGCATAAAATTAGATAAATAGAATTTTGCACATACCAATATATTTTATCTGTATTAGATGAAGTATGAAAATGGAATACTTCGGTCCGCTATATCTGTTACCTGACGCATATTTCCGAAAATGTGCACCTATCTCATATAAAGTACAAGAAGTAGCCGATATAGTCCAAATCTGTCACGTTCATAACTCAAGGCTGGGGGTATACATCTGTCGGCAAAACCGACTGATACTATTTTACTTGTTTTTCAATATATATGGAAGGGAATAAAGTTGAGTATGAGCTGATCTTTTGTCCTTTATTATGTTAATATTTTACGATAGGATACAATTGTGAACACTAAGACCGACAACACATAAAACGGTATATAAATGCGGTCCGTATAATAATTTCAGTTCAGTGAGTGGTGGTGTATTGTACAGAAAGTATTTGATTCAAAAATATATATCTGACTTATCAAATTTTTATCACGAAGTTATGGTGATTGTGTCATGCTCTTACTGCAAATTGGATTAAAAGGTTCATATCAAATAGCAAACAATGATGAGATGTGGAATTCCTTTGCGAATAAAATGTTAGTTGATATCTGAAAACATGTTGTGAGTCTTTCCGCGGGATGACTATCCCATTTTCATTTGTAATTCCGGAAAAAAAACTTCAAATTAAATTGATCGCTCGAAATACATCTTTTGCGTACAACTCAATATGCTGCCAATGATTCCCCCTTCCATCTTCGTATCGCTAGTAATGGTCTTACAAATACACAGCAAAGAGATCATTTCTTTCAGCTTCTTCTGATGTTCGCATTTCTGTTCTAATGATTTTGAAATTTCTTAAATTGTTTCAAATTTTATTTATTTTTATATTTTTCTCATTGAAAAGTTAGTTTTTAAATATATTATTTATTTGTCAATAAAAACTTTTTCTCGCTTACTCTTTTTAAGGGTTGTGAATAAATGAGAATTATTGGGTTATGAGCGGGGTGTATTTTCTAGGTAACGCAGTAAAACCAGCTGCTCTCAAAGCACATTGTTTTAATTATAAATATTACAAAAAAATGTTGTTAAGTTAAAAAGCACGCCCATTTTTATAGTGGATTTCTCGAATATTTGTCGGCAAGGTCTGAATTCGTCTCGTGGGTGGCCTTTCGTTTTGTTCATGAGTTTTTGGCTCTTACCCAGCAAATAATCTCTTTACCAAATAATGGATTTATTAAGCAACTAGCTATTCACGCTTCGTTTTCATTATAACTTCAGCCATATGACAACAGAAGAAATATGACATTAACACTGCCAAATAGGTCTCATCGTTTTTCTCATCGGTTCACGTTTTCTTATAGCCTCCATACAACGACATAACCCGATATTCGGTATTTTTTTAGTCACATGATTTTTTTCACAGAATTATTTTAAATTTGGTATTTAGAGTTTGTAACGGATTCTATCTTCATCGGTTGTAGACAATATTCTATATGGGTCTACGTTTTACTATATATGTCCAATTCAGTGTACCTTCGGATTTTTCGCATTTTGACGATGTAGGCCGCATTTTTTAACTCATATGTCTAAAATTTGGTACGTGTAGTTTGTAAATGGTTCTAAATCCTAAGTCGGAATATTGCTTATTTGAACCCAAGTTTTCCTATAGCACACATCGGCAATTTGTTTTAGATTCCGTTTTTAGAGCATCTAATGGGTTTTACCTCCAGATGCATAACATTTTCCATATATATCCACGTTTCCCCATAACGCTTATATAAGGGTACCTTTAGATATTCCGTATTTTGACGATTTAGGCCAGGGTATTGAGGTGTCGAACTTCATGTAACATAGTCGAAAATGTTAAAAGGTACTATGTTTAATGAATCTCGAAAACGGATGTAACATTTTATAATTATTGTCCAAATTTGTATCTTTTGAGAGAGAGGTAAAAGTATATGCCGACCATTATTGACCATTTTCCCACCTATGAAATTTGCATGAGATTTTGAACTTTCTTCAAACATAATCTGAAATTATAGGGCTCTTTGTTAAAAATATTACAAATACCAATCAGAAACTCCCTTTGATAGGTATCGTGCGAATAGACAGAGGGATATGACAAGATAGATTCTATTTTAAAACCAGTAAGGAAAGCTCAAAAGTCGGGCGGGGCCGACTATATGATACCCTACACCACTATGCATATTTAGTAGAGCTCTCGTAAAAAGGTTTATACAGGGCATTTCAGAGCTCTATGAGATATTTGGTACAAAATCAAAATCTATCTAATTCTATCGTGCATTTTACGAATTATAGCTATCTCTGAGCCGGGTTTCTCCAAATTTGACGTATTAGCTTCTAGACTGAATTCGGTCTTATGTACGAAAATTCATGCCATTTGGGCTGATATTGGCCATTTGATGCACAATTAACACGAAATCGGATGAAGATATATATGGGAGCTATAGCTATATCTGAACCGATTTTTACTAAAATTGGTGTACTTGCTTCTAAGCTGGTTTCGGTCGGATTTGCCAAAATTGATGCTATTACGGCCATTTGGTGGTCAATCACCCGAAATCGGATGAAGATATGTATGGGAGCTATATCCAAATTTGAACCGATTTCGGTAAAATTTAAAACAGCTATTCCTGTGCTCCATCTAATACCTGGTACCTAATATCACGGTTGTGGAGTGAATATTACGAATGTAAGGGACTAAAACACTAAATCGGATGAAACATATATATGGTTGCTATATCTATATCTGAACCGATTTTCACTAAATTTGATATACTTGCTTCTAGGCTGAATTTGGTCCGATGTACTAAAATTCAGTCCATTTGGACTTATATCGGCCATTTGGTGCACAATTAACCCGAAATCGGATGAAGATGTATATGGGAGCTATATCCAAATCTGAACCGATTTGGTTAAATTACAAACAGCTATTTCTGGGCTGTATCTTTTATCTGTGCTCCATCTAATACCTGGTACCAAATATCACGGTTGTGGAGTGCACAGTAGGAATGTGAGGGACTTAAAGATCAAATCGGATGAAAGATATATATGGGAGCTATAGCTATATCTGAACCGATTTTCTTCAAATTTGATATACTTGCTTCTAGGCCGAACTCGGTTGGGTGTGCCAAAATTCAGGTAATTTGGACTGATAGTGGACATTTGGTGCACATTTAACCCGAAATCGGATGAAGATATATATGGGAGCTATATCTAAATTTGATCCGATTCTCACCAATTTCAATAGGGTTCGTCCTTGGGCCAAAAAAATATTGTTTGGAAAATTTCATCTCAATCGGATAATAAATGCGACCTGCATTTTGTTCACAAGAATACATGGACAGACGGACGGACGGACAGACGGACTGACATGCATAAATCGACTCAGAAAGTGATTCTATGAAGGTTCTCAAAAGTAACTATGGGTCTATCTCGTTTCCTTCTCCATGTTACAAACAAATGCACAAAGACATAATACCCTTACCACTATGTGGTGTAGGGTATAAACAGAAGCAGGGTGAACTTATGCCTAAATTCAACTTTGGTGTTTTAAAAAATCAAAAACAGCTAGTTACTGGTCCTAAAGGGCACTAAATAAAATAATGATACTTTTAGCTGGGTAAAGGCCGAAAACTCATAAACAAAGTAAAAGACCACGCAGGAGACGAATTCAGACCTAGCTGTCAGACATTTGTTCGGCAAATCCACCATAAAAATGCGCGTACATTTTTAAAAGAACAGAAATAATTGTTATATATTTCTTATTAAAACAGCGTGTGTTTGACAGTAACTGCCCTTACAGCGTTACTTAGAAAATGCACCTTTGTAGCTGTTCAAAAAGAGTAGGCGAGAAAAAACTTTCATTGACAAATTTAAAAATGTATTTGAAAACTATTTTTCCTGAACTCAGAGAGGAAATAGAAAATATAAAAATAACTAAAGTTTTGAACAATTTAAGAAGTTTTGAAAGCATCAGAGGCCAACAGCAAAATAAGCTTTAAGAAATAATCTCTTTGCGGTGTATTTTTAAGACTATTACTGGCGATACGAAGACAAAATAGGAGTCATTGCCACCATTTTGAGTTCTCAGCAAACGACGTATTTCGAGCGGTCAATTAAATTGGATTTCTTCTTGTCCCGAATTAAATAGGAATTTGGAATAGTCATCCCGTGAAAAGCCTCGCAAAAAGTTTAAAGATATCAACTATTCGAAAGGAAGAACACATCTTATCATTACTGCGTGACAAAAATCTGGTAAGTCAATTACATAATTTAGAGATTGTTATATCCTTTATAATCCTCAGCCGATTGTTAATGTTAATTTGGAATGACAATTAAATTGGATTTCTTTTTGTCCCGAATTAAATAGGAATTTGGAATAGTCATCCCGTGAAAAGCCTTGCAAAAAGTTTAAAGATATCAACTATTCGAAAGGAAGACACATCTTATCATTACTGCGTGACAAAAATCTGGTAAGTCAATTACATAATTTAGAGATTGTTATATCCTTTATAATCCTCAGCCGATTGTTAATGTTAATTTGGAATGACAATTAAATTGGATTTCTTTTTGTCCCGAATTAAATAGGAATTTGGAATAGTCATCCCGTGAAAAGCCTCGCAAAAAGTTTAAAGATATCAACTATTCGAAAGGAAGACACATCTTATCATTACTGCGTGACAAAAATCTGGTAAGTCAATTACATAATTTAGAGATTGTTATATCCTTTATAATTGTCCTGTCCTGGGGACCTCTATCATTTGGGGGCAGATCTACCACACTGACGGCTGGCTAGCTGACAAATTTTTGCACCGGCGACAGCTCAGTCTATGGGGCCGCAGTTCTTGTCAATGTGCTAGAACTTGGAAGAGTGGACAAAAAACTAAAACTTATTGCTAGAGGGATGACAAAAAAAAGATGACAACGAATCATATAGCTTTTATAATAGGTTTGAATAACCGGTTAATTTGACACGGTTTTGTAATGCACCGTGCCTGGAGAAATTCCCCACCTCACCATGGTATCCCTGTTCTCCTATTCTATTTCCTGGAATACCCCATACTTCGCCCTACCTGTTTAAGACCTACGTTTTCTTACCTTGTGTCTAGTGTATTTCCATATTGAAAATCAAGAATTTCTAAATATCGTTATAAAATTTATTAATTTTAAAGTATTCAAAAAAAAAAAACGATATAATTCATCCTCTTTAAATCGAATTCATGATAAATATATAAATTGTGCTCTTAAAAAAAAACAATAAAATATTTCTTATTTATTTTCAGGGCTCGATGGCTCCAGGAACATTCTTTCCTCTCCTTTAGAGCTAGAGGAGGCTGTGGAAGTGGCGTACATCGGGTATCAACCTTTTACCAAATAAATGTGTATGTCTTCGTACGTTTAAAGTAGTTGCACTATAATTATATTCACGCTTATTATTATTTTATTTTTTTGCTTCCTTGTTTTTTTTTTTTTTTTTTAATTTAATTTTTCTCTCTTTTTTTTTAGGTAAAAAGGGCGAACAAAAAGGATAACCAACACTAAATTTGTCGGCGATAAGGGCAACAGTAGAGATGCTAGGGTAGCCTAACCCTGAATTGAGCTCGATTCGGAGTTCTGTACCTATTCCGCAAATACGGTAAGTCAAACTAACTCTAAATCCTTTTGTTTAGCCTTTCCTAATAATCTCTCTTTCTTTTCATATGCGGAATCTAATTAATTGGCTTGTCGTCCGTTTGTCTGTCCGAGTATGTTGTAAGATTGTCTATTGGGATCGAGAATAATACCCGTGCATGCCAGTCTGGTCATGCATAAACACTGCGCCTCCCACGGTGGATTGAACGGTGTTGAGTGGACTCCCGGTGTGGCCTCCAGTCGTTGTTGAAGTTGCTTTTGTCTTCGCGTTCTTTTGAGTTTTTAAAGTCTTTATGTATTGGTATTATTTTTTCATATTTTAAGTATTACAGTTTTTCTTACAGCTTTGCTTTGGCTTTAATTTTTCTTTAAAGCACTATTTTGTAAGAGCTATATGTATTAATATAGTTTTATTTAGCTCATTATTTTGCTTAGTTAAATATAATTAGTTGTGCCAATATTAGGTAATAACATTGATTTTGATTTATTAATAAAAATTATTTTACACCAACTACTTTTACTCTCTTTGTTGGGATTTACGGGAGCCACACGTCCAATCTTCTTTGCAGGTCTCATCAAAAAAAAAGGGTCATCTCCTCCTCGTTTTTTTGACAAACCACCCTCCATATTCCCCTACAATTATTCCCCTCTTTCTTTTATTTCCCCTTTTTCTTTTATTTCCCCTTCATGACATTTGACAATTGCTATATTCCCCAGTTCATTCTGGTGAATGGCTAGTTTTAAATTCTTCTTCTTCTTTCATTTAAAGCTTAACCCTCTTACAGGCGCACACCACATAATCCTCAGCCGATTGTTAATGTTAATTTGGAATGACAATTAAATTGGATTTCTTTTTGTCCCGAATTAAATAGGAATTTGGAATAGTCATCCCGTGAAAAGCCTCGCAAAAAGTTTAAAGATATCAACTATTCGAAAGGAAGACACATCTTATCATTACTGCGTGACAAAAATCTGGTAAGTCAATTACATAATTTAGAGATTGTTATATCCTTTATAATCCTTAGCCGATTGTTAATGTTAATTTGGAATGACACAACGCATTATGTACCGTTCTTCACGACATTTTACGTGTTGTTGGTTTTAGGCTTCAGAATTGTATCCTTTATTAAAGTTGCATAATATTAATATGATAAATTGACAAAATATCAATATATTCTGATTTTCACTTAAAGTCAAAATTTTTAGTCAGAAGTTATTATTTTGAACAGTCAAAAAGTGACAAGATTCAATGGTGTAATATTTACTGGCTAAAGTGGTCTTTTTGTTTGAAAATATCAAAAATTTTTTTTGAAGCGAACGTTTGTAAAGCTGAACCCTGTTTTTTTACATCAATGCTATTATTGTAATTTGTGTTGTCTTTCACTGAAGATATATCAAGAAATATATGCGAGAGACATACTTTTTATACAATACACGACTACATTGAGAGGATATTACAAGCTTGTTTGTAAAGCTTAGAAGTACTGGTTAAAAGGCTACCGAGGGTATATATCATTTGTTATATACCATAGTTCAATTGATGAAATCCGTTTTTCGTAACATTTGGAGTCGATATAGTCACGTCAGGGCGAAGGGAGTGTTCGTGTAGCTTTCCCACAATTTTTATACCCTACAGCACTTTGTGTTGGGGGTAGTATAAGTTTGATTGGACCAAAAATTATGTAATACCTCGAAATATTGGTTTCCCACATTCCCACATTTCACCTTACCACACAGGTTGGGATTATTATATGCATTTTTATACTGGAACGGTTAGGCTCAGAAGGGCTAGGTCCATTGTTATTAAAGATGTCCGCAATATATTTAGGGGTTGAAATGAACCAACAACTAAAAATGTTCCTGATTTTGAAAATTCAAGCCAATCGGTTCAAATGAACCAAAAACAGAAACATTTTCCTGATCACACAATTCAAGCCAATCGACACAGAATTTAGCCTGAGAAGAGAGTTAAGGACATCGAAGCATTTTGGGTGGATGTTAAATGGACAAATTTTGGACAAATGCCCTTGTCAGAAAGCTAAGGGTATTATCTGGACAATGCTCTTTGACATAATAACAAAAGCGAAACCTTCAACAACTATATCCTTGGCTTACTTGTGTTTAATAATCTCGCAAAATGTTAAATCAAATGAAACACATCCTATGTTAGAGCAGGAGTGAAAATGAAATTCATTGGCACACTCTGTTGGAAACCCCCCAAGAAAACTGAAATTTGGCATATCATAATATATAGATACGATTTAGGGCAGGTGAGAAAATGGACAATATTGGTAAATTATTTCCAGTACCTCTTCCATAAATAAAAATTAAAAGTAATAATTAACATAATGTGGGAAATCAAGGTGCGAATTTCTTCGAATTGAGAACGAATGTGAAAATAGAATTCATAGGTCTACACTGTCAAAACTTTTAGAAAAGGCATAATAATCAATATGTCTTAAATAAACCAATCGACCTGCAAGTATAGTCCAAACTAGAAATGAAATTGGAAGTAATTTGATATTTGATAGTTGTTACGGGTTCCTAACCACCTTGCCAACAACAGATACCACCCTATATTAGGTATTCTGATGGCTTTCCCCAATTTTATCAACAGAATTGTCTGCAATTTGGGATTTGAAATTTATAATGGATGCCTAACTGATTTAAAAAAAAAAAAAAAATTCATAGGTCCTCATTATACCCTATACCACAAGGTGGTCAGGGTATTATGTCTTTGTGCATTTGTTTGTAACAGGCAGAAAGAAACGAGATAGACCCATAGTTCCTTTTGATGATCTGTATAGAATCACATTCTGAGTCGATTTATGCATGTCCGTCTGTCCATGTATTTTTGTAAACAAAGTATAGGTCGCATTTATTGCCCGATCCAGATGAAATTTTGCACAGATCATTTGTTTGGCCCAAGGACGAACCCTATTGAAATTGGAAATAATCGGTCAAAATTTAGATATGGCTCCCATATATATCTTCGTCCGATTTGCCTTTTATTGTGCATTTTGCATATACACCCAAATTAGGTCTGAAAATAAGTGTGCCAAATTTGATCGAAATCGGTTCAGATATAGCTATAGCTCTCATATATATTGTTCATCCGATTTGTTACTTTTGTCCACCGCCGCCGTAATATGCACTCTGCAACAACAATATTTGGGGAAATATATCAAATGCAGCTCAGAAATACATTTGCTAAATTTTATCGAGATCGGTTCAGATTTGGATATAGCTCCCATATATAACTTCGTCCGATTTATCTTTTATTGTGCACCAAACGTCTAATATTTGTCCAAATGGGATGGAATTTGGCACTTACGACTGAAGTGAGTCTAGAAGCTAGTATGTCAAATTTGGTCAATTGTTCATCCGATTTGTTATTTTCGTCCTCCGCAGCCGTAATATGCAATCCGTAACAACGATATTCAGGGAAATATAACAAATACAGCTCAGAAATACCTTTGCCAAATTTTATCGAAATCGGTTCCGATTTGGATATAGCTCCCATATATATTTTTATCCGATTTCAAATTAATTGTGCACCAAATGGGCAATTCAAGTCCGAATTTGAAAAGTACAAATGCTTCGGCATATTTAGTCCTTTGAACTTTAAATTATAATTATAATCATAGCGTGTATGATTGAATTCTCCCATAAAAACTTTTATTTTATTGCAAAGTGGTGTAGGGTATCATAAAGTCGGCCCCGCCCGACTTTAAGACTTTCTTTACTGGTTACGAATGTAAGAGACTTAAAATCGATGGAAACATATATAACGGAGCTGTAGCTATATCTGAACAGATTTTCACCAAATTTGATATACCTCTAGACTGAATTCGGTAATTTGTGTCAAAATTCAGTTCATTTGGTGCACAAAAACCTGAAATCGGCGGAAAATATACAAAGTGAGATGAAAAAATGAAAAAACTGGGACCAATTTCAGATTGCTGTCATTTCTAAGTCACTCGTCCGACAGCTGTTAAAATTATTCCAGTGACAGCTCATTATATTGTTTACAACCATACAAAAGCATTTGGGTGAGAATTTTTCCAGAAAAAAGTTATTCGTGATGGAATTCAAGCGTGATATGATTTCTTTATATTTGGCTGGAAAACCACAAGTGGCTATCGTTAGAGCACTCCAGCATTTAAATGGGAATAAATAGTTTGTGTCTCGTAACATCCCTCCTTACCGTGATACTGGTAGCGTAACCCGACGTCAAGGAAGTGGACGGAACAAAACGACAACATCAGCAGAAATTGTTCGAAAAGTAAAGAAGCGACATGAACGAAACCTGCGTCGCAAAATGGCTCATGAGCTGAACATATCGCAATATTCCATTCCGTAAATATTGAACAAGTAAAAAAACATTACGTTCGGCCGGGCCAAACTTTTAATACCCTCCATCTTAGGGTAAAGGAAACATTAGAAGAAATGTGACAACAACCATTAAAAAGCCGAATATTGGGAGGTATCGTTACATGGGGGCTATACCAAATCGTGGACCTACACATGCAATGTTTCGCCAACGGAGCTAGAACCCATTATTACCTACAAATACCAATTTTTGACCAATCCGCGAAAATATGTGGAAAAAATTATCAAAATACCGAATATCGGGAGGTACCGTCATATGGGGGCTATACCAAAATGTGGACCTATAATTACAATGACTCGCCACTCGAACTGGGACCCATTATGACCCACAAATACCAATTTTTAGACAAATCAGTGAAAAAATGTGGCAAAAACCATCAAAATACCGAATATTGGGAGGTACCGTTATATGGGGGCTATACCAAATCGTGGACCCATACATGCAATGTTTTGCTACCGGAGCTGGAACCCATTATGACCAACAAATACCACTTTTCAGACAAATCCGTGAAAAATGTGGCAAAAATAATCAAAATACCGAATATCGGGAGGTACATTTATATGGGGGCTATACCAAAACGTGGACCTATACATGCAATGTTTTGCCACACCTACAGGGGCCCGTTATGACCTACAAATACCAATTTTCAGACAAATCCGTGAAAAAATGTGGCAAAAACCATCAAAATACCGAATATTGGGAGGTACCGTTATATGGGGACTATACCAGAACGTGGACCGATATATCGCATTTTCAATACCAACCATCCTAGACACAATACAAATTGCTCTGCTAAATTTTGGCGCTCTACGTCAAATAATGTGGGCTGTATCGTGATTTCAACAGCCTTGAAAGCCTTGGGCACACAAACATTTTGGCCGCCGACCTTGGACAGCACGCGCCACCCAAGAATGGTTACAAAATGAGGTTCCTCGCTTCATTTCCAGCGCACAAAATCTCCGGATACCATTCCGTTGCCCTATTGTGACTGGAGTATTTTGGAAAGCAAGGTTCGCACTAACAAATACCAAGAAAGTGATTTATGAAGATCCTCAAAAGCGACCTTCTCCATGTTACAAACAAAAGCACAAGACAAGACAAGCACCATTGAAAAAATATCGCTATATGAAAACCTGGAACTGTTTGAATAATTTCCTACAATTCGGAATAGTACCCACCAAATTTCAAACAATTCTATTAAAATTTCTATAGTCATTATATCCTCAGCCATATGGCGATATCATTTGCTACAGTTAATATGTGTCTAACGGTTTTAGACCCTAGGTCTCGTTGGAACAAATCCATACATTTGGAGTCGACCTAGGGTTGTCCGTACATCCGTCTCTCTGTCTGGCTGGTGCGCGCGATAACTCTCGAAAGAAGCATTTGATTCAAACTTGGTACATCGTAATATTATTGTCAAACTTAGATCGAGTTTGGAGATGCGTAATATCGGTCCACTCTTTCTAGTATCTTTCCCACAAAAGACCAAAATTTTCACAGAAAATAGTTTACTTGATAGAACACGACATATTATCCAATTTTGTGCAAAGTTTGTAAATCCTCATATTTGTATCAGTTC